CCCCAAAACCCCAAAACCCCAAAACCCCAAAACCCCTAATAGTTTTGCACCATTGAATGATTTAGCAAGAAGCTTATTGAGTAGTCTCAGCTGGTTGCTGGGTGGCATCAGTGGATGGTTGTTGGGTCTCTTGTCCTTCAGCAGCTGGAGCGTTGTAACCTCCTCTTCCGCCTCTTGGAGCACCTCTGCCTCCTCTTGGACCACCTCTTCCGCGGCCTCTTCCGCCTCTGCCTCTTCCTCTACCTCTGCCTCTTCCGGCTCTTCTCTTCTTCTCAAATTCGTCCTTCCAGGTCTCGAGGAATTTAGAGTGTACATCCATTGGAGAAGCATCAGTGTTTCTTACGTGCCACAAGTCTGGGGTCAAGAATCCGTAGTATCTCTTCAAAGCGTTATAGGTAGCCTTCAAGAAGTTCTCTCTGGTTCTGGTCTGTCCAGTGGATGAGGTGTAACAATCTTCAATACCAGCGAAGTGAAGCAATTTCTTTGAGACTGGAGCTCCGACAACACCTACACCCTTTGAGGCTGGAACCAATCTAATGCTGACTGAACCACATTTTCCGGTCATTTTACATGGTACGGTATGAACATCTCCGATCTTGTTTCCCCAGTATCCTCTTCTGACTGGGATGAGGTTGAGCTTGGCATCCTTGAGTCCGTCTTGAATGGCAATCTGGACTTCCTTGGCAACTTTAACACCGAGTCCGACGTGTCCGTTTCTGTCTCCTACAGCGATGACGGCCTTGAATCTTGTTCTTTGACCGGCTCTGGTCTGCTTCTGGACAGACATGATCTTCATAACTTCGTCACTGAGTTCCTTGACAAAGTGATCAACAATCTGATACTCCTTGATTGGGAGAGAGTGAGTGTAGATCTCTTCCAAAGACTTGATATGTCCGGCCTTCACTAATCTTCCAAGCTTAGTGCATGGGATCCATTCATCTTCGAATCTTCTTCTTCCACCTCTTCTTCTGTTGCCTCCGCCGAATCCGCCTCTGAAGCCGGATCTTTCAGCTGGGGCATCACCTTCAGCGGTTGGGGCTGGAGCTGGAGCTGGGGCTTGTGCTGGAGTTTCTCCTGGAGTAGCCATATTTTAGATATAATAATAATAATTAACAAACACTATTTTCTCTTCAATTCAGAAGCTGAAAAAGGGGTTTTGGGGTTTTGGGGTTTTGGGGTTTTGGGGTTTTGGGG